AGCAACCTCCAACTCCTGGGCTCAAGTGAGTCTCCTGCCTCCGCCTCCCAAGTAGCTGGGACTACAGGGGCCCACCGCAACGCCCGGCTATTTTTTAGTTGCAGCCATCATTGTTTGGTGGGCCCCAGCTGGATTTGAACCTGGCAGCTTAGGTATATGTGGCTGGTGCCTTAGCCGCTTGAGCACAGGTGCAGAGCCAATAAAAACCATATTCATTTTTATCTTATAATAAACATTAATCAGCATAACCCAAGACCTATTACATTTCCAACCCAACACTTAATCTCCTAAATCAATTGCCTAAACTACTCAAGATACACATTTTTTTGACAGAGCCTCAGCTGTCACCCTGGGTAGAGTGTTGTGGCATCACAGCTCACAGCAACCTTTAACTCCTGGGCTCAAGCGATTCTGCCTCAGCCTCCCAAGTAGCTGGGACCATAGGCTCCCACCACAATACCCAGCTGTTTTTTGGTTGCAGCCGTTGTCGTTTGGCGGGCCCCAGCTGGATTTGAAACTGCCAGCTCAGGTATACGTGGCTGGTGCCTTAAACTCTTGAGCCACAGGCGCTGAGCCAAGATACACATTTTTTAGGTTGAAGTTAATTTACAAAACAACAAGAACGGAAGACATGAGAAGGTCACACAGGATCTAAAACAATTAACTGCATCTTATTTTTACTACATGTGCTCTCAGGAGGTCATTGTAACCACCCTGTTTTAACGGATAGGGAAACTGAGACTCAGAACAATGCCAAGACCTTCCCCAAAAGACATTAAGAAGTTGGCTGAGGGCCAGGCATGGTAGCTCACGCCTGTCTGGGAGGCGGAGGTGAGTGGATTGCCTGAGCTATCGGGTTTGATACCAGCCTGAGCAAGCCGGACCACATCTCTAAATATAGCCAGGCATTGTGGTGGGCACCTGTAGTCCCAGCTACTTGGGAGGCTGAGGCAAGAGAATCACTTGAGGTTGCTATGAGCTGTGATGCTACAGCACTCTACCTAGGTGACAAAGTGAGACTCTCTCTCAAAATAAATAAATAAATACAAGAAAAGAAAGAAAAAGAGAAATTGGCTGAGTCAGGACTTGAACACAAGTTCTGGTTCCAAAGCCAAGATCTTCCTCCCTCATTACAATGGAGACCACCATAGCTCTCAGTAGTGTAGGTGGCCCAGCTGTGGGCTAAAGCCACGGCACCAAAATGGGCCCCAGCTGGTGGCATTTCTGCTTTCACTACAAACCACCAGGTGTAACAATAAAACTGAATGCTTACGTGCCAGCCACCGTCCTAAGCACATTATCCCACTGAATCCTCCCACCACGAAGCAGGTTATCTTTCCCACTTTATAGATGAGGACACTGAAGCCCAAGAGATGATAATGTAACTTGTACAGTGTCACACAGTAAGGATCACATGCAATTCTCATGGGATTTCATCCAGCAGTAAAGTCCTGAGCCCCTTCCATCTGCTACGTTTAACCCAAGTGATGTGACAGGGACCCTATGAGGATGAGGAGTCCACAT